GAAGGTAACCCCAGACACCATACTCGGAATACGGCACCAGATGATCTGTATGAAGCGATTCATAACGTCTCAGTTCTGAGCCTTAGTGGCTATTAAATACCATAGTCTTGGTTGCAGAGGCCGACGGGTCTGAACTTTAGTGTTTTTATTTCTAATGAATGGGCCAAGACTTGGAAAAGCCGAAGCCAGGCATTATTCGAAGTCTAACAATACCTAAAGACACCAATCTTATGATTTCAGCTTCTCTTCAAACCAACTTAAGCTTGACAGGCAACTAGCTAATCATAAACCGTGGAAGTCTGATTGCCGACGATGAGACGAAAGCAGTGTACGAGAGCTATGAAGTACATTATATCGCAGTCCTTGGCTTCCCTGTCTCGAGGCGTCTCAAAACTTGCACTTACTAGAAATCTTGACTCGCCTCTCAACACTTGGATTATAAGCTATTCATCCATTTTGTGAGTTCATGTGCTAGTCTACTATAACGGCGTTGAAACGTGCGACAGTCCAAGTCTATCATTAAATGAATGGAACTTACGGCTTCCTCAAGGCTCATTGTTTATTATGAACTTGCCACTTATATATGCGCTTTCCGGCTCATCACTTACTGTGTAATGTTCAAGGGCTAGATGTTATACTGACGACCCGAACAAGTAGCATATCCACCACAAAGGATATAATTTTGGTTCGAAGGCTGAAATATGACGAGTTAGGAGTTGAAACCAGTTAATTTATCCCAAACCCATCGTAGGTCCATCGGCCAAGTTTTGCCCTATTAGTACGCGTATTGATTAGATTGCAATGTATAGATCCGTGGCTTCTAATGGAGTGCGGACGCCGTTGTCACGCAGAATTATGGTCGCTAGATATGCTCTAAATCTATTATTACCTACTTTTATCGTCAATTTGTTATCCGATTTCTCCAACAGGTATTAATACGTCTATTTCTTTTCCAGTTCGGCGAATTGCCTTTTTTCGAAGAGCCGGACGCGGTGAGACGTGTCGAGGATCTTGAATCAACTTACAAGAATGTGAAATATTTCCTATCGTATATCTGAGGGTCTGGAATATATACAGCTATCAAAATTAGAGCGTTGCGGTTCATAAAGTTCCGCTGGGTGTTAAGAATCACAGTCTTGACCCTTGCTCTTGTCTCCTCGTCTGTCAAAAGACTTGAGGTCAAGGAAGCACTGGATGTATGAAGCTGAAGTCGTGGATATCAACTAACATGCCACATGAAGAAATTCAAAGTCGTTTAATGATAACGGCTTCGATTCTCGCCGCTCCAAAGTCCCATTGGGGGCAATCTCATGCTAGATGGATCCAGTCATTCGTGAACAAGATTTGAATAGTTTCTCACTCTATAGACATAGGACAAGAGCTTAAAATCGTATAATAGGTATCAAGAAGGATTAATAGTACACCCAGGACAACGCAAGGCTGTCGTTCATCCTCGGTAGTATGTCTAAAAGATTATATCCTGAACGCCAGACACTACAAGATCGTTTCACATTAAGCCTTAGCCTCGTCAGTCTTGCGGCCACCGAGCTGCATGTAGTTCCAGCAAACTATCAAATCAGGTCAGTCATCTTAATGAACATATCGAGGCCCCGTTTAACTTACTCGTCCAACCAAGATCATCTCGGAAGCAAGACTGAGCAACTTCCTCACCATAAACAGTGCCTGTGTCAGGGCTCGATGCCACAGCCTTCTTTCCAACTGCGAGTCCAATCACAGGAGGGTAGACCGCAAGCTCCTTGAACTCTGGGATATGGCCTGCTCGTTGGCTGAGGATGCTTTGATGGATGTTCTGTGCTACGTAGTGGCCGTGATGCATGGCCCCGCCACATCGCTTGATACCGGGCCAGTTGGTGATATCGCCAGCAGCATAGTGCGACTCGGCGTTGGGGGTGCCGTCCTGGAACTGCAGACTATGCGCGAGTCAGCAGCTGGGATTTCAAGTCAGGAGACAATTAACTTACTTGGGCTTGATCTTGACAAGACCGTCCGCATCGAGGGCAGAGGGCGGCAAGTACGTTGAGGTTGGAACACTTCTGGAAATGGCCATGATGACCTCGCCTGCGAACATCTTATGGCCGTTGGTGAACTCGATCTCATACTTCTCACTCCCGTCGGTCGTCTCAACCTTGTTGTTTGCAGCTAGACGGTGGCTCATGAGAACCTCAACACCAGCCTCACGGAGCAACTGAAGAGCCACATCTTTGGTCTCGTCAGGGAGACCTTCTGAAGATAGGAGCTTTTCACGCGAGTGAACGAGAGTCACCTTGAGGTGAGGCTTCACCATTTTCAGCTCTGCAGCCATCTCAATGCCAACAGCGCCTCCACCAACAACCACGACGCCATGATTAGCATTATGGACAGAGGTGATGTGGTTCTCGGCTTCGAGGAGATATTGCTTTCGTGTTTTAGACTGAGGCACTACAGGCCAGACGCGACGTAGACCAGTAGCAGAGACGAGGTAGTCGTACTCAAGGGTACTCTTCTCTTCGGTGAGATGAGCAGAGATGGTCGCCTTCTTGGCTGCAGGGTCGACACTGGTGACGGAGCCATGGATGATGTTGATGCTGGGGTCTTTGAGGCCCGGGATATCAGAGTACTTGACCCAGTTCTTCTTGGAGAAGTTGGAATCAGAAAGAGCCAAGGGAGAGCCGATCAAATGGTCTGCGATACTGTCAGGGTCCAGCACTTATCATATCGCTTAGCCCAGCTGGACTGTAGAGTACTTACAGTAGCCATCCCTCTCGTCGACGATAGTGATATCAATGTTGAAGCGAGGAAGATCAGGATGGTGGATGTTTGGCTCAGAATTCATGCGGGGAGAGTACCCTTGGCTCAGATCAAGCAAGTTGACAGCAGCAGATAGACCACCATAGCAACCTCCAAGGATGAGAACGCGCACGGCGTTGGATGATTCGGGGAGCGAGCCCATGGTAGCAAAGGCCTTGGAGTGGGACGTAGGAAGAATTTGACGTCGAAACACGAAATGTGAGGCTAAAACAACAGATCTTGCTTGGATCTGAGGCTGAGGTAAGACGAGGGTTGTTTGCAAGGGACTCGAAGTAAAGAAACGTATGGCCTGAGATAGAGTCGCGGGTGGGACTCTGAGTAGTTGTCCTGAGAACCTGAACGACCTTGGAGCAACAAACATGAGCTGAAGGATGGAGTACTATGAGCACGAAGATGGGGGGAAGCGAGAAGAAATAGTTGAAGCAGCCAAGGGAAGAAGAGAAGAGGTGAGAGAATATAGGTAGATGAAGACACGGGAATAAACGACAGCACCCGCTGAGGACTACCAGTGACGCAAGGCGGTATGGAATCTGATGCGAGGAGGAACACACTGTATCCGTACTCAGATTAAAGGCGCAAGAGAGACTTCAATATCGGACCAAGACCGGCCCCGGCTTCAAACAAGGGACCTTTCATCTCTCGGCTGGAGCCTGCATGGCCCTGTTTCTCCATCGTATTTCCCAGGAATTCTTGTGTCAGTCTCACGGTGAGATTGAGGAAGGGGTTTCGGGACCGGCAGCGGGGCATTCTCCATGATCACGGCGTGGTTGGTGCTGGTGTTAGTGCAAGGAACTTTTTTGTATGTGGATGTGGAGTTAAAGTTATCAGATCCGTCCTAGACAAGCGACGGAACACCGTGAAACTCCACTGAAGCCTCAGCACCCTGGACAAGAGGGAAAATTATCAGATCTGACGGATATCCGTTCTCCGCTGACTCATCTAAGAACTCGCAGTCTGAAGGCACAATTCCACTTCTCGTGATGAGTTGTACAGTGTGAAGACCGTTATCAGATCGATCTTTGGAGTAATGATTTTGTCGATCTCTAGACTAATAATGGACTTGTTACATACGCGAATCCTCCCAAGAAATTCCAATGTAGAGTCTATTCGATTTGCTTCTGTATGTTGAGAGAGCAAGGATGTATTATGAGAAGAGTGGATGTTGTGAGCCCTTTACATAGCAGCAAACCTTGGCAATGGATGTCATAGATATCCTCAACTTCTCAACAACAGACATTTTGATGCGCTTAGACTATGATGTTCTTGAAACCCGAACATTTACTCTTACTGTGTCTTCTTGGTGTGCTATGGGTTCGGAAATCCGCTGGAGGGCATCAACTCGAGGCCGATCAGATAACTCCGTCTACCTAGTCAGTCCCAATCCGAGGGGACCACACCCAAAAGTTGAGTCAGACTTGGCAAGCGAGCCAGTGAATGACCGAAAAGAATTATCTGATCCGAACAATCCCTGACAATTTGAACTAGCTCGCCCCGCTGATGGATCAAGCTTATACAACATGGTAACAGCATCACCAGCGATTCACAACTTCGGGGAACTGGTGTAACTAGTTGGAAGGTAACGACAGATGCTGTTCTCCTGGACTTGAGGAGTTTAGGAAATCTCGAATTTGGACATTGGTAAAAATATGTTACGCTCAACCCTGGTCAAAGCAGAGCCCATCAGCTTGTCATCTTTAGTGCACCATGAGGCAACTACATTCTCATGAGAGAAACATAATCACGGTCCCATATTCACTCTTCAAGTCCTCTTCTTCCTATTCAGGCCAATCGTTCTGCGGATCTCCTCGACTTTATTCTGCAGCGGGGGTTGCAATCCTTCGCTTCTCTAGCACCGCAGCCTTGTCCCCATTAGAGCTGCCAAGACAAGACCGGGGTGACTCTACTGTAAAATTATGCTTGTTTGACGGCGAACTAGGCAGAGGCTCTGCACCGGCTCCGGCTCCGTTTGCATTTCTCCAAATGCCTGTTCGCTATGGATCGTCTGCGGCTGTTCCTCATGCCAAGACGACCATGGTCTTCAGTAAGGGATCTACAAGGCCGACACTCTCGAGGCCCAGTGGCAGCGTAGCATCTCTTTTCATCATGTGTTTCCCTCTCTTCTCTTCTTTCGATTCTTGTGCGTAGGGTCGCTGTGAAGATCCATTGGCGCTATTGCGACTTACACTGTCGAGATGGCTTCAGCTTCACCTGAGCAGCATGACAATGCCGTGACTAGCAGCAATTCTGCTAGCGAGCCTATACCTAATGACTCTCTAAAGACAGACCCTGCTACAACAGAGACGTTGATACATGCGCTCAATGACCCAACTGTTAAGCGTCCACCCATTCACTCCCCACGACCATCTACAAGATCATCAACTATGTCAGCTGAATCTCATACACCACCAGAGAAGAAGAAAAAGGTAAGTTCCTACAAGAAGATATGAGCCTCCTACCTTGCCCCTCCCAACATCCATCCAACTAATGCCCCATTCAGAGCCTACGCTCGTTCTTCATTTACTTCCAGCTCCTCTTCTACGCCAACCCATCATGGGTCGATATCCTCCTACTCGTCGTCGGAACTCTCGCGGCCTCTGGGGCCGGAGCACCGTTTCCTCTAATGGGAATCATCTTTGGTCAACTCGTCAACGACCTCAATACTGCGTCATGCGATGATGGAGAAATCGCATCTCAATATTCGCCCAAAGAACTTCAGGACAGCATCAACAAAAAGGTTGTCACGATCACGTGGATCGGCGTGATCAGCTTTGCGCTCATCTATACCTACATCGTGTCATGGTCAATCTTTAGCCGTCGTCTTGAGAATCGTATTCGCGATCGTTACTTTATGAGTATTCTCTTGCAAGATGCCACTTTCTTTGACAAGAGACAAGCTGGAGAGATCACATCTCGTCTCAATGTTGATATACAAGCTATTCAGTCAGGAACTTCTGAGAAGGTGGGCATCATTCTAGGATGCACATCTTTCTTTGTATCGTCGTATGTGGTCGCCTTCATCAAGAATACCACACTCGCTGGAATTCTTGTGTCACTTGTGCCTGCTTTCATGCTTCTTGCCACAGTGGGTAGCCTGTTCACCGCAAAGTTCGCGACTGCAATGTCCGAGAAGATCGCCTCTGCTTCTTCGATTGCCTCAGAGGCTCTTGCGAATATCCCGGTTGTCCAGGCGTTTGGGGCGGGCCCGCGACTAGAGGTCATCTTTGCTGAGAGAATGAAGGGGGCTCGAAAGCAGGGTATCAACAAAGCTTTCGTTGCTGCTATTCAAGCTGGAATGCTTTACTTCATTGCTTACTCTGCAAATGCCCTCGCTTTCTGGCAGGGTAGTACACAAATTGCGAGCATGGTTGAGGGTAATGGAGGTGCATCTGTGGGTGACATTTATACAGTCATTCTCCTGCTGGTTGATGGTAAGCATCTGCTTGACGATATTGAATCTTCTGACTGACTCGGAATAGCCTGTGTTGTTTTAGGTGGCATCGCACCGCTATTACCCTTAGTTGGAGCTGCTGTCGGATCGTTTGAAAAACTTCGTCAAGACATGGACAGCCCTGCAAACATCGATACTGGGTCCGACAAAGGAGTGAGGCTCTCCTCAGTCGAGGGAACTGTATCTTTCAGGAACGTCTCCTTTGCTTATGCCTCACGGCCCCATCACTCCGTGCTCAAGAACGTCTCATTTGATTGTCCTGCTGGCAAACACACGGCGCTTGTTGGCTTGTCAGGGAGTGGCAAGTCAACTGTCACTGGTCTGACCTCCCGAATCTATGACCCTGCTGAAGGCACGGTTCTCCTAGATGGTCATGACCTCAAAGACTTGAATGTGAAAAGCTTGAGAAGTCATATGAGTCTTGTACAGCAAGAGCCATCTCTCCTGGATCGATCAATCGTTGAGAACATTGCCCTCGGTATCTTGAACTCCCCTCAACCCGAGCATGAGCGATTCAAAGCTATTATTCTTGGCACTGGCCTTACTGAACTTGCTGCCAAGCTCCGACAGGGTGAAGGTCTTACGACTGCAGCTCAAGGATTTGGCCTGGACATGGTTGACCTCGTCCATCGTGTTCAGGAGGCTGCCCGTCTGGCAGATGCGGCTGGTTTCGTGGACAGGCTTGAGTATGGCTACGGAACGCTTGTTGGTACAGGCGGGAAGCTTGTAAGTGGCGGCCAACGACAGCGTCTTGCACTCGCGAGAGCCCTCATTCGCGACCCCAAGATCCTAATTCTCGATGAAGCCACTGCTTCCCTTGACTCTGCAAGCGAACATCGTATCCAGATGGCCATCGAGTCTATCGCCAAAAACCGCACTGTCATCGCCATTGCTCACCGGCTATCAACTATCAAGAACGCTGATAACATCATCGTCATGAACAGTGGCGAGATTATCGAGCAAGGAAACCACCTTGAGCTCATGGCCTTGAATGGATCATACGCTAGTATGATCCGTTTGCAGACGGTCGATTCTGAAGATGCTGGCTCAACCACAAGCACCGTCCGCACTGATAACATCCACTCGGAGAAGGATTCTATCACGGATCTCAAAATCAAGGACATTCAACAAGAGGTGGTAGAAGATTCAAAGGAAGAAGATGTCAAGGAGAAGGAGGAGGCCCCGGACGTAGACGCTGCTCTCGATTCCAACAAGTCCGCTTGGACTGTTATGAGAACTATCAGTGGAATGGTCCGACCATATCTCTTTCTCATCATTATCTGTCTCGTTGCTGCCACTATTGTTGGCCTCACATTCTCCTCCTCTGGTCTTATCTTCGGTTATACAATTGACAACATCAGCCCATGCAATCCTGTTGAGGACATTCGTTGGGCTGGTAGGTTCTTTGGAGGCATGTGGTTCCTAATCGCTTGTGTCGAGTTGTTAGCCAATACTACAAGTTGGACTGGCTTCGGCATGGTTGCTGAGAAGTTGCTGTACAAGATCCGAGTCCTTTGCTTCCGGTCCCTTTATGAGCAAGACCTTGATTGGCATCAATCAGAGGGTCGGACACCAACCGCTTTGTTATCCGTCATCACAACAGATGCTGCTACAGTTGGCGGATTCAGTGGCTCTATCATCGGTACAATATTCTCCATTGTGGTCAACTTCTTAGTCGCCATCATCCTCTCACATATCCTTGCATGGAAGATAGCCATCGTTTGCTTGGTTATTGTCCCTATCCTCCTCGGCTGTGGCATTATGCAGCTTCGATCCTTATCCAAGTTCGAGCGCCGGCATGCTGGAGCTTTTTCTGGTGCAGTTGGCATCGCTAACGAAGCCGTTAACTCGTTCAAGACAATTTCCTCTCTGTCTATCGAAGAAGAGGTCATGAGCTCGTATCGTCGTGCGCTCAGAGCACCTCGAAAGGAAATTACCCTTGCTTCAATGTATGCCAACTTGTGGCTTTCTCTGGCCAACAGCACAGGAAATCTGATCTACGCATTTGCCTACTGGTGGGGATCAACTCGCATTACTGCAGGCGAGGCAAGCCAGCGAGAGTTCTTCATCATTCTTATCTGCATGCTTGTCAGTGCGCAGCTCTGGGGTCAAATGTTCAGTCTTGCACCCGAGGTATCTCGTGCTAGAGCTGCCGCTTCCCGAATTCTGAGCTTGATCAACCTCGGATCCTCCCAGAATGACGCCAAGAAGGGAAAGCTCACGCTCGCTGTAGAAAACACCGAGAGAGATATTGAGGCATGTGCTGAAGCGCCTGTCAAGAGTAATGGAAGCAAGGGAGCGACTATCGTCTTTAGGGATATCAAATTTTCATATCCAGCTCGACCTCACATCCAGATCCTTACAGGCATGTCTTTTACCATCTCTGCTGGTCAATTCGTTGGGCTTGTCGGTCCTTCGGGTGCTGGTAAGTCCACCATCATGTCGCTGGTGCAACGGATGTACCGCCCTTCTAGCGGAACAGTTGAGATCAACGGCAACGATATCTGTGCTCGGGGGGGCACCGAGTTCCGTAATGATATTGCGGTTGTTCCTCAAGATTGTGCACTATTTGACGGGACAATACGATTCAATGTATCGCTGGGCTCAACTCCTGATCATGAACCGACGGATGAGGATATCCATGAAGCCTGTAAGCTGGCTAACATCCACGATATAATCATGGAGCTGCCCAACGGTTACGAGACGGAGTGTGGTCCTAATGGCTCGCGTCTTTCTGGCGGACAGCGTCAGCGCTTAGCCATCGCCCGTGCCCTTGTGCGTAAGCCTAAATTGCTGCTTCTTGATGAGAGCACAAGTGCTCTCGATGCTGAGAGTGAGCGGGCTTTGCAAGAAGGACTCGAGAGGGTTGCACGTGGTATCACCGTGATCGCCATCACACATAGGCTTCACACAGTACGCAAGGCCGATGTCATCTTTATGATTGAGGGAGGTAAGGTTGTTGAAAAGGGAAGACACGAGGAGTTGGTAGAGAGAAGTGAGACCTATCGCACAAATGCTCTACAGCAGATGCTTGGTAACTGATGTTGGAGATACCCCCACGCCTTAGTCTACGTAGGCCAGGGAGAGGCCAGAAAGTGACAATGGGTCCTAGGTATTCTAAGTGACAAAAATAGTTATGTTAGCTTGGGTTAATTTAGGATGGATTTGGTAGGCATTTACGGAGGTAGATTAGTTAATATTGACACCCCGCTTAGGTCGGACGGTTTGTTTCTTAGTCCTGGCGCCTCAAAGCCTACGCCTGACCTCCACCTCTGCTTCAGTGTCTCAGCTGATAGAATGTAGAGGGTGCAGCTTCGTGAAGCCATCCTGTCAATTCAGGGGATTTGCCCACGTTTTCTATCATGTGATGGCTTTTGGGCACACCAACATTTCGAATTTGCGTATCTGTATTTTCGATCCCCTTATTTTGAAGCTGAAGAAAAAGACGATACATCCTGATATATCATGCATTTCCGTGTAGAATTTACAAGGGTCCTGGCTGGAATAGTGGATGAAACGAGAATGAATCTTTGGCCGTAGAAACGTAATGAAACTTGGTCTAAGCAATAACGTGTCTATATATAGGCGTTGTATATAAAGCTGAAATCGACCTCTCACAATCGACTTATTTGTTACTGCAACTGCAACTTCAACTTCTGCAAGTCCCGAACAACTCCAGGGAACGACGTCACAGTGCACAGGGATCAATCTGCACGGAAACTCAAAGCCGGCCTATCATGGGCGACTTCGGTGATCCTTTGTAGCAAGTATCCGCATTAACCCCTTGACTTGCGCGTTGCTTCATTCTTGACGATTGCCCTAGATTTGGCTCTTTGCATTACAGCCAAGCCCTCTCTTATTATTCTTTATGTACTCCGTACCGTCATATGATCGCTTTGTCCCAAATCTAGCAAGGCTTACTTGCTCTGACCCCTACAGAACGCGGTGCGGTATCAGTGGAGACGTTAGTGGTGTACCTTTTTTTGGGTTCAACGGGGCTGCCGCGACGATTTCCTCATCCCACAGTCCAAAGAGTCCACTCCCAAGAGGATCTTGACACTACCGCTACGGGCCTTGACACCCAATTGGGACCCTCGAACCACATGCCTTCCGTCGCCGGGACACACTCCATCTTTTCCAATACTCGTTGGGCGATAATAAAAAAAAATCTAACCTTGGTTCAACCTTCAAGTCGCAACCATTCCCTCATCACCGCCCCACGACGATCCCTCCTCTCTTCCCGGCGTTGCACTCACCACGTTTCAAACTCGCATCAACGACGCCCACCCGAGACGAGGAGGGAGTGCTGCTGCCTCCCTGCTAGACAGCCCAGTCCCGGTACCACTGCATCAGCACCAGCACAAGCTCCAACACGATAGTAGTGCAAATACGAGTACCAGCGCCCACCGGAGCGAGCAGTTCGAACTCGTTGACTATCCTCCCATTCAGGCTCGTCGAGACGCCCAAGATCGTGAAGCAAGAAGACAGGCCAAGCGAGACGATAAGCGCCGCTGGCTAGAAGAACAAGACGAGATGAAGTTCTCTCATAGTATTCAGTTCAATGCTGTTCCAGATTGGAGCAGCCATTACATTGCATACAGCAATCTCAAGAAGCTGTATGTACTGCTAATATTGCATTCAAGCCACACATGAGCTAATATCATCTTCTCGCAGAATCTATAACCTCGAAAAGACCGCCCATCAGGCACGTGGAACCACTGGCGATGCCGAATCTCGACCTCTCATAAACCAAGAAGATGCTGAAGAGGTCTTCTCTCGAGCTCTTGGTGTCGAGCTAGAAAAGATATGCTCATTCTACGTCGCTAAAGAAGGCGAGCTGCTCGAAGAAGCTGCGCAACTGCTACGCGACGTTGGCGACGAGGCCGAGGATGCCATTGCCGATAATCGTTACCTTCGCAGGCTCTCTGTTTCATCAGCCCACCGTCCTGATGGTCGCAACGGCTTCCGCTCGAGAAGTCCTCGGAGCCGCAGCACCGACAATGAAGAGAGCGCGAGCGAGGAGGAAGACGAGACAACTGGGCTTACAACAAGGCGACGAAGCAGTGGAGGCCGCAGGCGCACACTTCCCAACATCCATAAGCCGCGCTCTGAAGATCTAAACGCTTCCTCCGAGTTCGGTCGCGATATGAGAAGGCACAGCACCACAGCCGACGAAAACGATGACCAAGCTCTCATGTTCTCTTCTGGCATGTTTTCGTCTGGTATCATGCTCAAGAAGCGCATTATCGGCCTCTATGTGTCACTCTGCGAACTTAAGTCATTTATCCAGCTTAACCGCACCGGCTTTGCCAAGGTGCTCAAGAAATTTGACAAGATCCTTGATAAGGAACTCAAGGGCCCCTATCTGCGGGCCCATGTCGAGACAGCCTACCCCTTTAAAGACGAGACAAAGCGTGTTCTTGAGGACAACATTACCAAGATGGAGAAGGCTTATGCTGAGGTCGTCACTGGCGGAGATGAGGAGCTCGCTCGCAAAGACCTTCGTTCGCATCTCAGAGAGCATGTTGTTTGGGAGCGCAACACCGTGTGGCGAGATCTTATTGGTATCGAGCGCAGAGCTGAAGCTGCGGGCTTGGGACAAGCACTTCTCGGACAAGAGAGAGGGAATGTCACAAGGAGGTTGCAAGGCGACGAGGCTAAAGCACCACGAGAGACCCAGTTCCGCACACCCTTGGGCAAGATTACCTTACCTCCATGGCTCGCTAGCTCGTCTCTTTGGACACTGGTCGCTTGTCTTACTGTTTTCTCCCTGTTGCTTCTGCTCCCCATCATGGAGAAGCCCGAGCAACAGAACTGTCTGGCAATGCTTGTCTTTGTCAGTTTGTTATGGGCCACCGAGGTAAGCTTTCCAGCCAGGCAAATTCACGATTGACCATTACTGACCTCTTTAGACCATCCCTCTTTTTGTGACATCATTACTTATCCCATTCCTCTCTGTTGTCTTGAACGTAGTTCGTGATGAGACGCCAGGCAAGCCTCAAAAACGTCTGGACTCCAAGGCAGCCACATCCGCCATCTTTGCTGCTATGTGGACGCCTGTCATCATGCTTCTGCTCGGCGGTTTTACTCTAGCAGCTGCTTTATCCAAGTGTACTATTGACAAACGACTGGCGACTCTTGTTCTTAGCAAGGCCGGCACCCAGCCCAAGACTGTGTTGATTGCCAACATGTTTGTAGCTGCATTTGCGTCTATGTTGATCAGCAATGTCGCGGCTCCTGTTCTATGCTATTCTATCATCGAGGTGAGTCAATCATTGAAATGGATGAAGGCTCAAACTGACAACTATACAGCCCATGCTGCGAACATTGCCTTCTGATTCCAACATGTCGAAAGCTGTCATTATCGGTATCGCACTCGCCTCCAACATTGGTGGAATGCTCTCACCCATCGCTTCTCCTCAGAACGTCGTGGCGATGGGCATCATGCAACCCGCGCCCACGTGGCTGCAGTGGTTCTTTATTGTCATTCCTGTTGGCGCTCTCTCGATTGTTCTGATCTGGCTCCTCCTCCTGGTTACCTTCCAGCCAGGCAAGGGTACCACGATTGCCCCTATTCGGCCTGTCAAGGAGAAGTTCACTGGTCTCCAATGGTTCGTTACTATCGTCACCATTTCTACCATTGCTTTGTGGTGTGCTAGCCACCAGCTAGAGGCCGAGTTTGGAGACATGGGTGTTATTGCTATTATTCCCATCGTGCTATTCTTCGGTATCGGCTTGCTGACCAAGGAGGACTTCAACAACTTCCCATGGACCATCATCATCCTTGCGGCCGGTGGTCTGTCTCTGGGCAAAGCTGTACGCTCGTCTGGTCTGCTACATACCCTCGCTGAGATCGTCTCTGAGAAGGTGGAGGGCATGAGTCTGTACGGTGTCCTGGTTGTTTTCTCGACTCTGATCTTGGTTATCGCAACATTCATCAGCCACACAGTCGCCGCCCTTATCTTCCTCCCTCTTGTCTTTGACGTTGGTGTTGCTATGGATCAGCCTCACCCCAACCTGCTTGTCATGGGTGGAGTGCTCATGTGTAGTGCAGCCATGGGTCTGCCAACCAGTGGATTCCCCAACATGAGTAAGTTTCATGCAATTGCCCCTAACAACTCAATTCTAACCTACCATAGCTGCTATCATGAAGGAAGACCCGTTCGGCCAGCGTTATTTACAGGTCAAGCATTTCATTAGCCGCGGTGTGCCCAGCAGTCTCATTACTCTTGTTGTGGTCGTGACTCTTGGTTATGGAATCATGCAAGTCGCGGGACTTGACTAGATTAATGGGGTGTCGATATATGTGTTGTTGTTTTTGGTGTTTGAAATTTGGTGTTATTTCACGTTGGTTCTGTCAGGTGCATTGCCATGTCCATGAGTGTAGATCAAGCGTCGGGATTCATAGACTGGAAGCTAGCTATTTTTTGTTTTCTATTTACCGATTGAATAGGAAGTGCGGCGAATAAATGTTGTTATATGGATACCGTCAAATTTGGTTCTTCCATGTAACTATAGTACCTAATGTGGTTGTTAGTGTGAGTTCGCACTGCTGCACTGTACCGTTGTAATGCAAGAAGCTCTGGCCATCTAGGTATTGACGTCGATGGTTGGCGGCATGACCCTGCCACCGGATACCGACTCCTAACTGACTTAGTACCTACCTAACTGACTACCATTCCTGTCCATCAAATTACCCATACACCAGCAACACTGAACACTGATTGTCCTTCCTGCGACTTCATGCTTCAAACTTGTCGATAGCGTCTTTACCTGGCAAACCGTGCGCTTGGCTAACTCTGGGAGCGACTGATGCGCCTCCTCTCCCAATAGCCTCTACAGCTTCGAGCTGGCCGGCGCCATGCTCTCCGCTTTCACAGCTCGTCCCATCATCGAGCTGCGACAAAAAGATAAATCTAAGATTGAGACGATACTCGCTCAAGGTATGCGTATGCCCCCGGTGGTTCCGCTGCTCTTCCACCGCAGTTTCTACGACACCGACTGACTAACTCTCGGCTCTCAGGTGACCGCGTTCTTGTTGGCCTTAACAATGGCGCACTCCGAATCTACCGTCTGAACGAGCTTTCCGACCAACCTCAGAATGGTTCCGCTGATACAAATGCCAATGGCTCGTCGTCTGCGGCGGGCGAAAACCATAATACTGCACAAAGGTCGGAAAAGCCAACTGATTTGATGCGCGAGGTAGAACGTTTCTCGACGCGAGCAATCGAGCAGCTGGCAATTATAAAGGACGCAAACACAATTGTATCCTTGTCGAATTATCACGTCTCTTTTCACGATCTGAAAACATACGAACTTATTGAGACCCTCAGCCGAACCAAGAATGCATCATGCTTTGCGTCAACATCCAATATTGTCAAGGATCCGGACACGGGAATCCCCGAGATCGTGAGTCGGCTGGCTGTTGCGGTCAAGAGGAAATTGCTACTCTGGAGCTGGCTTGAGAGCGAACTCTCTGAGGATGTGGACGAGATCGTGCTGCCTGAGTCGATTCGATCCGTAACATGGGCAAATGCGACAAAGTTGGTGTGTGGTATGAATGGCGGATACGTCATGGTGGACGTCGTAACACGCGAGGTCGAAGATATCGTGAGTCCGGGTTCGGGACCAGCAGCCGGGCAGAGTAGCCGGTTTGGTGCAATGAGCAGTGCTGGTATGGGATACATGGGATTGGGAGGTTATATGCCCAAGCCTTTGGCGACCAAATTGGCCGAGGGAGAAATGTTACTGGCAAAGGATATCAACACACTATTCATCGATGATGATGGAAAGCCCCTCGACAGACGGCAGATTCCCTGGAACCATGCCCCTGAGTCCATAGGGTACTCGTACCCATATATCCTTGCCTTGCAAGCGCCTTCAAAAGGCTCCCTGGAAGTTCGGAATCCTATAACATTATCATCACTTCAGAATCTATCACTACCGGGTGCTGCTCAGCTTCACTTTCCGTCACCAACTTACAGCTTAGCACATGCCGGAAAAGGTTTTCACATCTCCAGTGAACGCTGTGTTTGGAAGATGGATTCAACAGACTATGACTCCCAGGTTCAGGAACTAGTAGATGGTGGCCACTTCGATGAGGCTATTAGCATTCTCGAGATGCTTGAAGATGCATTGCTAAAGAACAAGGCGCAGACACTCCGCGAGGTCAAGATGCTCAAAGCTGAAGGGCTATTCAAGAAAAAGAAATATCGCCAGGCGATGGATCTTTTCAATGAGGATACCGTACATGCACCTCCTGAACGAGTTCTCAGGATGTTTCCTCCGTCCATTGCTGGAGAACTATCTGCGTGGGCCGGCCGGGAAGAGGAAGAAGAAGAGTCGGATGACGCGCCAGGAACACCGAATAAAACCAATGGCACCCGTCCCACCACCCCTGAACCTGTTGAGCAGGCACAGGAAACCCCACAGTCAAGCAAAGGAGGCTTCGCCAGATATCTTACCGGAAGCTATAGGAGGCCCCAGTCGGATACCGCATCCATCCTCTCAAAGAAGGATACGGCTGACGGCGATGATGCTGCTAGTGTGAAGGAGACTGAGTCAAACGAAGATCTGCCTTTGAAAGACAAAGACTTGACGAACGCGGTTCTGGAGCTCAACAGTTACCTGGCTGGAACACGTGCTCGATTACAACGAGTGATTGATCCTGTTACTGGAAACCTCAAACCTCACAGTGATCGAAACGGTTCAACAGAAGAAATAGCAGAGAAGTTCCTACGGATAGGGCTCGATGATTCTGAGAAGAAACTTGAAGAGGAGCTCCGAAACACCTTTCGTTTAGTCGACACAACTTTATTCCGAGCATACATGTTTTCCCGACCAACTCTAGCAAGCTCTCTGTTTCGAATTCCCAACTTCTGCGACCCTAACGTGGTCAACGAAAAGCTTTTGGAACACAATCGCTATACTGAGCTGGTGGATTTCTTCTACGGTAAGAAGCTACATAAGGAGGCTTTAGAACTTCTACGACGATTTGGAGCCGCTAAAGAACCCGACGAGGCCGCACCAACACTTCACGGACCGCAGCGCACCATCCAATACCTCAAAAATCTACCACCGTCGGAAATTGACCTCATCCTTGAGCATGCAGAATGGACCCTCAAAGCCAGTCCAGATGAGGCCTTGGAGATTTTCACAGGCGACACAGAGAATGCGGAGACCCTCCCACGAGAACGGGTTGTCTCTTTCTTACATGATGTTGATACGCAGTTGGAAGGACGCTATCTGGAGCACATCATCACTGAGCTCGAAGATATGACACCTGACCTTCACGACCGATTAGTTGAGCTCTATGTAGAAAACTTGAAGAAGATGGACAAGGGTGAGAAGTGGGATGAAATGATGAATCACTTCATCGAGTTCTTGAGACAGCCGGGGCAGGTTTACAGTCTCAGCAGGGCGTTTAGATTGATTCCCAGAGATGGTAAGGTTCATATACAGGTGTGTGGTGATCTATACTGACTTGCATCGACTTAGACCCAGTATTTTACGAAGCACAGGCTGTGGTATTGAGCAACATGAACCAACACAAACAAGCCCTTGAGATATATGTATTCAAGATGAAGGACTACCAGAAAGCTGAACAGTATGTCGTTCACCTATCGTTCCATCGGCTCAGAAGCTAACTTTAGTAGATACTGTAACCGAGTTAACTCGACTCAAGATACTGCTCCATCGTCTCAGCCAAATGAGAAAAATGAAACTGGAGAGGATCCTGAGACTTTTACACCATCTATTTATCACACCCTTCTGTCGCTCTATCTTCAACCGTCACCACCCAACCAGCCCAATCTAGAACCAGCACTGGACCTTCTTTCAAAGCATGGATCACGTCTCCCAGCAACATCAACTCTAGGACTGATTCCAGACGACCTTCCCGTTCGGTCACTTGAGTCTTACTTCCGAGGCCGCATTCGGTCGGCAAATAGTCTGGTCAACGAGGCAAGAATCGTCGCTGGTTTGCGACAGGCTGAAGGCATATCTATCGCGGCGCGGCTGCACCTTGGTGACGATGTACAGGGAGGGCAAGGCGGGCGTAACAGGCACGTTGCCATCACAGACGAGCGACACTGCGTCGTGTGTCACAAGAAACTCGGGGGAGGTATGCGTATTGGCGGAAGCGTGGTAGCTGTCCTGCCGGATAACACGGTGGTGCACTACGGCTGTTTGAATCGGGTAACAGGGAACAAAGTAGACGCATCCCAGGCGCCAAGTTGGGGTCGAGGATTTTAGACAAGTCGTTTATGCTGATGGGAGCATCGTTTCGGGGAGCATTTGCATGGATTGGATCGGTGGTAGCCAGTATGATATTTCTCAAATACCCTTCATATTCAAACACATCTTGCCGCTGAAGGGTTTGCAGTCGTTCGCGAGGAGTTGGTTACCTCAGTCCTCCTCTTCTTGTACCTCCTCGCCATAGTTCTCTTCCTCTTTGGCCTCGGCCGCAGCATCCCTCGCCTTGTCCTGCTCCATTCGCGCTGTGAGCTCTTTATTAATAGTGTCTTGGGTATCGGCGACAGAGGCGCGCAGAGCCTTTAGGTATGATGACTTGTCGGTCGTGGAGGCTGGAGATGAGATAGCAGGAAGGGTGTGAGCAACTTTGAACGGTTCACTCGCTGCGGAGGTGTAGTCTGCGGTGAGAGTTGGTTGCGACATTTTGTTTTAGATTATTATGTTTGGTGTTGGGAACAAGATCGAAGTCTAGACTTGGATGTGATGTTTTGACGTGGGGTTGAAGAATAAGAACCCCACATCTGGTGTTCGTGGAGATATAGGGTGAGCAAATAATATATACGGAGTAAATATCATGAAATAGTTACCTTATGTTCAATCACGCAAGTACAATTCCACATTGAGCGACTAGAAGTGCAATCCTGTGTTTTTGGCCCAGTATCGCTTCAGCTGGTATATCCTTTGCAATAAATGTGATTGAACAGGCAATCCCGTTCTAAAAGCCAGGTTAGTCAGCGAAGTGGCTTGCCAAATGATAGGTAGATAGGCAATCTGGTCAACTCCAGGTTAAGCTACTAACCTAATACCTAAGTAGATAGTTCATGAGCATTCATTATCTCCGTATTAGCTTAGCATTGATAAGAACTCTTGAGAACTACCTACCTGAACTACACACTAGCCTGTCACTCCCGCCTAGGACAAAGCGATCGACCTTGACCAAACCTCATCAACGCCGAAACAAACCCTAAACACCTTTTCTGCCTGGGACCCTGTCGATCCGGGCTCGCATCTCTTTGGGTCTCAAGATGTAAC